AACATGCCTCCTTCAAAGAAGCATGACTTTCCATCTTGGTGGGGGAGGCTCAACTAAGTCAGTTCCTTCAGTTCACGCTCTCTCAGCCTAGAAGTAGCAACTACTTTTAGATCTTTTTTAATATATATATATATATATATATATATATATATATATATATATATATAATATACACACATATGCATATATATATATAATATATATAAATCAATTATATATATAATTTTGATTTTTTACAGAGAGGAGGAGAGAGGGCTCGAGAGTTAGAAACATCAATGAGAGAGAAACATCGATCAGGTGCCTCCTGCACACATCCTACTGGGGATGTGCCCACAACCTAGGTACATGCCCTTGACTGGAATCGAACCTGTGACCTTTCAGTATGCAGGCCAATGCTCCATCCACTGAGCCAAAGCGCTAGGACTACTTTCAGATCCTTTGGAGTCTTCTTTTACCCCTCTGAGAAATTAAGCACCTTTTAGTAGTTAACAATATTTTATTTAAATTTTCTTTGCTCAAAGTATGTGTTTTCTGTGTCCTAACCAGACCTCACAGAAAGAGCCCACAGGATGGAAAGTGTGACCTGGAGACCGCTGAGGTGTCACCAGGAAACTCTGACTTATGTCTAAATTAAAAACAAAAGGGCCAGACCCTGGAAAGGAAGTGCTTTCCTCCCATTGTCACCTTGCAGTATCCCTCCCATGTCCTTTATTTATAAGCTAGAGGCCAGTACACAAAATTCATGCACAGGGATTGTGTGTCCCTCAGCCCAGCCTGCACCCTCTCCAATTTGGGACCCCTTGAGGGATGTCTGATCGCCCGTTTGGGCCTGATCCCACCGAGATCCTAACTGCTCTCCCCCTACAGGCTTGCCCCCCCCTACTACCCTCCCCTGCAATCCTAGTCATCCCCAATTGCCCTCCCCTGCAAGCCTGGTCCCCCCCAACTGCCCTCCCCTGCAGGCCTGGTCTCCCACAACTGCCCTCCTCCTCTGCTTTTTTTATTCATTACTAACAACACACCCCAAACAAAACTAGCAATGCAATGGACTGCTACACAGTAATAAAAAGAATGAATTACTGATACACAGAATAACATGGATGAATCTCATAGACAATATATTGAAAAAGAAGCCAAATCCAGAATAGTGTACAAGGTGATTCCATTTATATTGCAAATTGTGGATAGATCATGAGAATTCTCATGTTTTCTGTTCTAAGGCTTTTGGCCAATCACAAGAATTCTTTAAAAAGATATTTGCTAGTAAGAACATGTAATAAATAACTTAAAATGCAATGGGTATTTAATTTTAAAGCTTGCCTTTAACATTTATGTAAAGCATTTTTTATACTTGTTCAATAGAAACTTATCTGGTTACTGGGTAAAGTTAGCAATAAAACTACTGGCCCACAATGTGTTAAGATAAAAAACAGGCAAACTAACTTTTCGAGCTAATAGGAATAGTGAATAACTTGTTCGGGGAGGGGTATTAATGAGTAGGAAAAGGTAATAGAGACCTTTTTGGGATGATGAAAATATTTTATATCTTGATTTGGTGGTGGTTACATAAGAGTATCCTATATAATAAAAGCCTAATATGTTAAGTGTCTGATCCTCTGTTCAACCAATCAAAGTGTAATATGCTAATGATGAGAGGCCTAGTGCACAAAATTTGTGCATGGGGGTGTGTCTCCCTCAGCCCAGCCTGTACCTTCTCCAATCCCAACTGCTTGCCTGCCTGTCTTCCTGATTGCCCCTAACTGCTTCTGCCTGCCAGCCTGATCACCTCCTAACCATTCCCTTGCTAGCCTGATTGATGCCTAACTGCTCCCCTGCTGACCTGATCGCCCACAACTGCTCTCCTATGTAGACCTGGTCCCTCAAATGCCCTCTCCTCCTGGCCATCTTGTGTCCACATGGGGGCAGCCATCTTATGTGTTAAGGTGATGGTCAATCTGCTTATTGCTCTTTTATTAGATAGCATAGAGGCCTGGTGCATAGGTGGAGGCCAGCTGGTTTGCCCTGAAGTGTGACCCAGATCAGGGTAGGGGTTCCCTTGGGGCATGGGGTGGTTTGCAGGCCGGCCATGGCCCCTGGCGACCCAAGCAGAGACCCTGGTAGTTGGAATCTATTTATCTTCTACAATTGAAACTTTGTAGCCTGGAGTGGATCCAAGCCATCTACTTCCTCTGAGGCAGCAGCCATTTCTGTTGGCATTTATTTAACTTCTATCATTGAAACTTTGTAATCTTAAGTAGAGGCCTGAGCCAGCCAGGGTATGTGGAAAGCTTGGCTTCCTCCATTGCCAGGAAAACCCAAGCCTCACTCCTGCTCTCAGTGGCTGCAGCCATCTTGGTTGGAGTTAATTTGCATACTCACTCTGATTGTCTAGTCTGTGCATGGCTTGTGGTGTAGCGGAATGATGGTTAATTTGCATATTACTTTTTTATTAGATAGGATAGAGGCCTGGTGCACGAGTGGGGCTGGCTGGTTTGCCCTGAAGGGTGTTCTGGATCAGGATGGGGGTTCCCTTGGGGCATGGGGAAGCCTGGGTGAGGAGCCTGTGGTGGTCTGTAGGCCAGCCACGCCCAAGCAGAGGCCCTGGATTTATTGCTGGGGAAACCTCCCTCCTGCTCTCTCTGTGGCCATGGCCATCTTGGTTGGATTAATTTGCATACTAGCTCCTGATTGGCTGGTAGGCATGGCAGAGTGATGGTTAATTTGAATATTATTATTTTATTAGATAGGATACCTCAATTAAAAATAAAGCAATATGGAGGCAAAGCCCAAAACAGCCAAAAGGATCTAAGAAGCAGAAAATAGAATGGGTGGCAGATTCTTTGTAATAAATTCTATAGAACTTCTCTACTCTAAAATATGTGAATTTGTAATTTTGATAAAATATAATCTAAATAACAGAAAGCACAGATAATGTGGTGCAGTGATTGAGTGTGGACCCATGCAGTCAGGGCACATGCCCAGGTTTCAGGCTTAATCTCCAGTACAGGGCATGCAGGAGGTAGCGATAGATGTTTCTCTCTCTCTATCCCTCTTCCTTCCTCTCCCTCTAAAATCCATAAAAACATATTAAAAAAAAAAAAGATTATTACCTCTAGATTCAAACCACGTCTATCTGGATAATAGTGGCAAGTTACGTTCCCTCTCTGGCCCTCACTTTCTCCATCTTAAAATAAATCTAATAGGCCCTAGCTGGTTTGGCTCAGTGGATAGAGCATCAACCTGTGAACTGAAAGGTCCCAGGTTGGATTCCAGTCAAGGGCATATGCCCAGATTGTAGGCTCGATCCCCAATTGGGGACTTGCAGGATGCAGCCAATTCATGATTCTCTCTCATCATGGATGTTTCTATCTCTCTCCTTCTTCCTTTCTCTCTGAAATCAATATAAATAAATAAATAAATAAATAAATAAATCTAATAGAACTATGTGAAAAATAACCGAGTTTGTACCCTAAAGTACTTATCAAAGTGCTTTACACATAATGAGTACTCAGTAATGCTAGTTTTCTCCCCATCTATCATTTTCCTTCCAACACAGAGACTACAGTTGAGAGTACATTACTCCTACTTATTTCTTCTCATCTCCCCATTCCAGATACCTCAAGTTTCCCAACCTTATTGCTCTTTATTTCCTCACTCTTTCCTAGGTCACCTGTGATATTGGGATTTATAATAAAAAACATATTATTGGTTTACATTCTGTCCCTGGTACAGAGCTTCTAAACCCTAGGAATTTCAGAAGTAAAAAGAGCAAGTAATGTGGATTATTATGTTAATAAGTGACTAGGAAAGTCCCTAAGCAACTGCTGGATGGGGGCTCGTTGCCAGGGAAACCAATCTAGTGAACTTTTAGTCTCAAACACTGACCTCTGGGGAGAGAGGTGGGGACTAGAGATCGAGTTCCACAGATAATGACCAATGATTTAATCAATCACAACTGCAATGAAGCCTTCAGAAACCCAAAAAAGACAAGGTTCAAAGAGCTTCCAGGTTTGTGAACATGTGGAAGTTCTGAGAGAGGGACGAGTTCTGTAGAAGGTATGGAAGTTCCTTGCCTCTTTCCACTTACATGCCCTATGCATCTCTTCCATCTGACTATACCTGAGTTATATCCTTTAAAAATAAACCAGTAACCAAGAAACTAAAATATTTTTGAGTTCTGTGAGCTGCCCTAACAAATTAATTGAACTCAAGGGGGGGAGGGGTTGTTGGAACCTATGAGCTATAGCTGGTCCATCAGGATGGAAGGACAACCTGGACTTGTGTCTGGTGTCTGAAGTAGGGGTGAAAAGGGGCAGTAGTGCAGTCTTGTAGGACTGATCCCTTAAGCTGTGAGATCTGACAATATCTCCAGGCAGATAGTGTCATAATTAAGTTGAATTTTAGGGGACTCAGCTGGTATTTGAGAATTCTTGGCGGTGTAGAAAACACACATATTGTAACTGCTGTTAGAACTGTATTTTTCAATTCACTTCTCTCTCTGAAAAGAGATCTGGGACCCTTCTCTCTATTATCCATGTAATTTCCTTTGGAGACTTCAGTTTCCTCACCAGAAAAACATGGGAATTGAACAAGACCACCTCTAAGGTTCTTTTAGCATTAACATTTCTTGGTTTCTCTTTTCTCTGAAATTTCTATTTCTGTGAAGCCTCTCCCAGACTGACTTATGGCTCTAAAGATGTTTGGTGAGGCACGTGATGTTGTCAAACATTTACAGATGGCATGCTGCTTACAGGGAACAAGTGTGTGGGAGGGTAGGGGGATGCCTTCACTCATCTCTCTCCAAATGCCAAGAGCCAAGTGGCATTGAGTTACTTTTTTCTTAAGACTGGACTCTCCTGGGTCACATGCATCTCACATTGCACTGGAAGTGTCACCACTAGGGTCAGGTGAATTCTAAGGCACCCTTCTTTCCTGAGGTAAACCCTTTCTTTGCATGCAAGCCAATTAACACAGCTCTCCTGCCCAGAATAGGCACTTACCTGCCCAAAGTGATGAGCCAAAATAATGTCCACAACATTGGTTGTCAAGCCTGAGATCTAAAAAGAAAAATTTGTGTCAAGGGTGTAAGTATATGAACAAATTTATCAAGCTGTTCACTTAAAATCAGTGCAATGTACTGTATATATATTATTCTCTAACAAACAAAACCACAACTCTGCCACACATTTTCTTTAAAATACATTTTTGTTTTTTGGCTTTTTAGAGAGAGAAAGATGGAGCGGGAGAGAGAGATAGAAACATCAATGATGAGAAAAAATAATTGACCAGCTGCCTCCTGTATGCCCCCTATTGGGGATTGAACCTGGAATCTGAGCATGTGCCCTGACTGGGAATCAAACCAGCAATCTCTTGGTTCCTGGGTTGACGCTCAACTGCTGAGCCACACTAGCCGGGCTCACATATTTTCATGAGATGGTGCTTTCAATACACATGAAAACAAGTCAGAAAAAAAATGAAGTGTCTCTTAGAATAATAATATACTCTTATTTGAAGTTAGCAGCTGGAAGAAATGGGGTCATAACTTCTTTGAAAATTTAAGACCAAGAAGTCACAGCTATTAGTTACTTCATTCCTGCCTATATTTTTGTATTTACATTGGATTTATGGATAATAAAAATTGACTTACAACCACTCCCAAGACATCCAAGAGACAGAAACAAATTTATTTCTTCTAATTTTTGTTTGTCTTAGTTTCAGGGAGAGGAAGCTGCTATGTTTACTGAATGTTCTTGCATTTTCAACATTTTTCTCCCAACTTTTTCCATTTCAAAACAATACTTATCCCTTTTATCTCTCTGGTTGTTGTTGAGATTGTTTATATTTGTAAGGTCATTAGCATATCCTGTAGCTTTCTATCTCTAAGAAATTCTATCTAGATAGCAAATACCTTCATTTTTCAATAGCAAATATAATGAGAGCAGTAGCACAGGTTAAACTATTTGGGTTCATTGAAGAGAGTGGCTCATTCATTAATTTCACTCATTAAAGTGAAAATGTGCCCTAGTCGATTTGGCTCAGTGGATAGAGCATCAGCCTGTCAGACTGACAGGTCCTGGGTTCAATTCCAGTCACGGGCATGTACCTCGGTTGCAGGTTCTCTGGCCCTAGTCAGGAGGCAACCAACCAATGTGTTTCTCTCACATTGATATTGATGTTTCTCTCTATCTCTTCCTCTCTCTCCCACTCTCTCTAAAAAAATCAATGGAAAAATATCCTCAGGTGAGAACAACAACAGAGTGAAAATGTAAACCACAGATTAGGAGAAGAGATTTACATGCACCCAGCAAAGGATTCAGATGTAGAATATGCAAGAAATGCTCATAGATCAGTAGGAAAAAGACCAGCAACCCGATTTAATTAAAAAAAAAAAAAAAAAAAAAAGGTAAAAATTTGAATAGTCACATCATAAAATGATATCCAAATGGCCAGTATGTTTTTAAAAAGGTGTTTGATAACATGGGCCCTTAGGGAAAGACAAATTAAAACCCAGTTTTGCCCTGGCCAGATGGTGCAGTTGGTTGGAGCGTTGTCCTGTACAACAGAAAGGCTGCGGGCTGGATTCCTGGTCAAGGCACAAACCCAGGTTGGGGCGCATATGAGAGGCAAGCCATCACTGTTCCTCTCTCACATTGATGTGTGTGTCTCTCTCTCAAATCAATAAGCATATTCACAGGTGAGGATTAAAAAAGACAAAACAACTCCCCCACAAAAAAGTTTATTTACCCATAAACACATAAAATTTAATAGATGCTACAATTAAAAACTGTTTACTAATGAAAGCTATTTTGCTTTTGGTTACCATATAAAAACAAATTAATATTACAAATAAAACTGCTCACCTTTTATAAAAATTAAAAGAGCTATTCTCAATATCCCAAGATTTCAGGTTCTGATCAGGGCACATACAGGAATCAACCAATGAATGCATAAATACATGGAAAACCAAGACGATGTTTCTCTCTCTCTCTCTCTCTCTCTCTCTCTCTCTCTCTCTCTCTCAAATCAATTAGTAAGTTAAAAATAAATAAATAAATAAACGATCAAATGTGGGGAGTATGTGGAATAATGAACATTCATGCATTGCTGATATGTAAATTGTCCAAATACTTTGGAACATTGGCAGTTATCTACTAAAACTAAACAGACAATTGCCCTATGACCCAGCAATTCCACTCTTAGATACAGATCCCAATGAAATGAATCTGTATGTCCATGAAAGACAGATAAAAGAATGTGTACAGGAGCTTTATTCATAGTAACCACATAACAATTCACATAACAGATTACTAAACAACAATTAAAAAGAACAGAACATCATGGGTAACTAAAGTGTAGTCTATGCCTACGACAGAATGGCACCCAATAATAAAAAGGAATACAGTTGAATACATGCTACAAAAAAAAAAAAAAAAAAAAAAAAAAAAAAAAAAAAAAAAGAACACAACATAAATGAGACTGACAATAATGAATTTAAAAAACTAGATACAAAAGAATACATTATTTGATTATTATTATATGAAGTCTAAAAATAGATAAAGCCTGCCTGGCTGGTGTGGCTCAGTGGTTGAGCGTCAACCTGTGAACAACCAGGGGGGTCAGAGTTCGATTCCTGGTCAAGGCACATGCCTTGCAATGATCCTCAGTAGGGGTTGTGCAGGAAGCTGCTGATCAATGATTCTCTCTCATGACTGATGTTTCTATCTCGCTCCCTCTCTGATATCAATAAAAATACATTAAAAAAAAAAACAGAACAGATAAAGTCAATCTATGGTGATTGAAGTCAGAGTAACAGTTATTTTGGGGAAAGAGAGGAAGCATTAAGAACAGAGCTGGGCCAAAACCGGTTTGGCTCAGTGGATAGAGTGTCAGCCTGCGACTGAGGGGTCCCAGGTTCGATTCCAGTCAAGGGCATGTACCTTGTTTGCAGGCACATCCCCAGTAGGGGGTGTGAAAGAGGCAGCTGAATCAATGTTTCTCTCTCGTTGATGTTTCTAACTCTCTCTCCCTCTCTGTAAAAAAAAATCAATAAAAAAATAAAATAAATAAAGAACAGAGCTGGAATCATTCTGCATACTGATTGGGTGTGATTACAAATGTAAACATTTATCAAGTTGTATATTTAAAACTTCTTACCCTTAACTGTATATCCCTCAATGAAAAAATAAAAATAAAACAGGTAAGTCATTTTGAGAAGAGACCAAGAGATAAGCCAACAGACACCATTTGGTGCTTACTTTGGAAGCTGCCCAGTCAATCCAGCCTTTAGCACAAGGGTCAACGTTAATGAGCACAAGGCCTTCCACAAGCTCTGGATAATTGAGCTGAAAAAGATGACAAAGAAAACAGTATGAAAGTTCCACTCCTAGCATTCTTCCAAAAGTAATGGAGCACGGTTAATTTCTGTTCTGCCTTAATGCAGATTTGAAACTAAGACTTCTGAGAGGTCTAAGGGAGGCTATCCAGAAAAATAGGTCTTTAAATCTGGCTTAGCACCTGGAAAACCAGTTTCTTAAATTGCTGTCAAATAATCTTGCCTTGCAAGGATCCCTGGGAGAGACATAGATTTCTACAGCAGAGGAAGGCACCTGGAATCTCTGCAGTTGATTAGCTCCTGGTAGGTCTTCCCTGCTGGGGAAGTGCCCTTGGAACTACTTGGCATAAGGGGCTGATGAGGCTTAAGCTGGCTATTTCACATTCATTATACCTTTATTCCCAATAGGGGCTTCTTACGGTGTTTTTTAAAAACACATGAATAGATGATATACCATTCCCAGAAGATTGTCCTCTCACCTAGGAGGCACTTGAAAAAAGTTTCTTAAATAAAAATCAATAGGAACTTTTCTATGTAAACTCAAAACTCTCTAGCTTACTTTCCCTCCTCTGATTACACTGATTATGCACACTATGGAAAATTTGGTAAACAGAAAAATTATAAAAAGCAGGAAACAAAATTTCACATTATCTTATCATACAACATCAAACCCTGTCAATATTTTGGTATATTTCCTTCTAGTCTTTTCCTATGCATATGACAAATTTTATGTGAACCTGTATTTTAATTTTAACATTTTAGTATATGTGTATCACATAATTACAAGCTTTCTTATAAAATTTTAATGGCTATACAAAATTCTATCTTAAGTATTCTCTAAAAATTACTTTTTATTAATGATTTACTGCCCTCATTTGTGATCTTTCAGGTAATATAAACATGAAGCAAGGCTTATATAAACTGCATCTGGAGCTGACAAAATTTATTTAAAAACTAACGTAAGACAAGCAATAGTACCTGATCACTTAACACAGCAGTAAGAGCTGTGATCTAGGCATTGTCTCAAGGGTACTGAGACTAATATCCCATGTACTTACTGCAAATTTGCTGAGGATGTAAGCTCCAGCTCCAACTCCAATCCCAATGATGCTTTTCACACTGAATGAAACACAGAAATATTGACAGGATTAACTCACTTGAAGGTAGCATGACAAATGGGAAAGAATACAACTGGGTTCAAATCCTGGCTCTGATGCTTATCAGATATAGAATTTGGTCAAATTTCTTTACTTTCTGAGCCTCAGTTCTCCACCTATAAAACAAAGATGTGATCATTTATTTCTAAGCTGACTTTAAGGGTTAAGTGAAATGACTAAAATCTGGCTGAGAGTCAACCTTGAAAGCTTATTTTCCTGTCACCTCCATATCTAACCCATCAAGTCCAATAGAATCTACCTTCAAAGTATTTCCATCGATGTCTCCCCCAACTCCCAATGTTCAGTATCAAGCTTGATTGTTATAAAAAAAAGTTTAACTAGTCTCTCTGCTTTTTTTTCATTTCTTTCCAATCCATTTTCTCCACAGCCAGAGTAATCCTTTTTAAAAAAAATGCAAACAGCATTATTGAAGCTCAATTTACACATCTAGAGAGGTCACTTAAAAAGACCAAATTAGATGATCACTTTCCTGGTTAAAAGCCTTCAGTATTTTTTCTTTGTCTTTTGAATAAAATCCCAAATTCTTACCTGATCTGTAAAACCTATGTAATTTGGTCCTTGTCCATTTCTCAAATTTTACCACATGCCTTTCTCCCACTTGCTTACTTGATCTAGGACTTTTGGACATAACAACCCTTCTGTCTGAACTCCTCTTGTCCTGGCTCCCCTATCTATCCCTTAAGTCCCAGGCTAGATGATACCTTCTTAGAGGGGCATTCCCAACTAGCCTTATTTATGTAGATCCTGACAGTATTCTCTATCACAACACCCCCACTGACTTCTTCTACAGCTTTAGTTGTGATTATTTGTTTAATTATTTCCTCCACTAAGATGTAAGCTTCACAAGGGTAGTGACTATGCTGTTTTGCTCATCATCATATTCCCTAGGTCTGTCACATAGTAGAAAGTCCTTAAAAACTGTATGAGAGGTTCTGGCCAGGTGGCTCAGTTGGTTGGAGCATCATTCTGTGTTCAAAAAGGTTGCTGGTTTGATCCCTGGACAGTACATACAGGAAGCAACTGATCAATGTTTTTCTCTCTCTCAAAAGAAATCAATAAAAAAACATATCATTGTGTGAGAATTAAAAAAACAAACAAAACCGCACACAAAACAGTGTGAGAATGAACATACCTTAAGTGAGTTAGAACAGAAGGAAGCATTTCAGCTAGCTCATCCATTGTGGGGTACTGGTACCTGAAATCCAGAAGGATAACTTCTGAATTAGAATGCACCCGCATTTTCCAATTACAAGAACAACTAGAAAAGTACAGCGTTCTTAGATAAAAGCATTTTCTTTACCAGAGGTTCGAAGGAGGTGATGTGAAGTCTGAAAATGACTGTGACATGATGTGTGACTCCTTATATCTGTCATGCTAAACAGAAGGTTAGAGAACCCACGTTTCTATATCCTCAAGAGCAGGCTCCCGGATCAGAGAAAGCCTTTTGAAAAGAACAGGTAATATGGCTCGCTCTCTCAAAGTATTTCCAAATCTCTAACAATCACCTCAGTTGGGGTTCAGGCTCAGTAAACTTCCAACAGTAAGAATCAATTCAGGAAGTAGCTCTTGGTCTGCTGCTTATTTCTAGGCAACTAGAAACAAAAGGAAACAAAGCTTTACTGGGCCTAAGCAGAGTCACAAATTATGGACTCTTCATGATGAATGCTGCTTGTTTCAATTGGGCATAGGACAAGGTTCCTTTATTGCCTTCAAATTTGGTTCATGATATGAACCAAGGGATTCTAAAACGATCAAGCATGCCCAGAAATGGATTCAGGCTTAGAATTCGAGAAAAGTAGGGAGCACCTAGAGGTTACAGAATCAAGAATCCTCTGCTTGATACACAAACCAGTGATTTCAACCAGTGTGCTGCAGGTATTTTTAAAACATGTAATACCTGACTATTTAGTCAGGGGCACTGACCTTGTTTCCCTTTGACTGTCAAATAAAAAAATTACAACAGCCAACACAATAATAGCTGTCCAATGTGACTAAATCAAAATTATACCTATTTTGCTCTAGATGGTTTTGCTCAGTAGATAGAGCGTCGACCTGCAGACTAAAGGATCCCAGGTTCAATTCCGAACAAGGGCACATGCGCAGGTTGTAGGCTCGATCCCCAGTGGGGACATGCAGGAGGCATTCAATCAATGATTCTCTCTCATCATTGATGTTTCTATTTCTCTCTCCCTCTTCATTCCTCTCTGAAATTAATAAAAATATATTTACCTATTTTTGCTAAGATAAGTAAAAAATATTTATATTTTTGGTGTGCTGCAGAATTTTAGTGATTAGTTTATATATGCCATGAGATTAAAAAGGTTGACAATTGCTGCTTTAAGTGATGAAGTGCTTTTTAGCCACTTGTACGCAAAGTAGAAAAAAGGAATGGGATCCAGGTCTTACTGGATATATGAACTGGTCACTGGCCAATTTGTGTTTGAGAAACAGAATAACTTAGACATAGTTAATAGCATGGATTCTGGGGCCAGACTGCCTGGGTTAAATCCCTGCTCTCCTGCTTATTTGTTATAAAATATCAGCCTTATTATCTGTAGGCCTTAGTTTCCTCACTTGTAAAATGGTAGTAATAGTAAACCTAACCCAAAGTGTTATAAAAATGACTTAGTAAGTGTGAAGTAAAGCAGTGTCAGGAATAGTGTTTAAGTACTATATAAGCATTAGCCATTGTTTGTTTGCAATGGTCTATTTCACTGGCAAAGGCAGCTCTGGAGATGAGAAAAGGGAGATGGGATGAATTAGCTTTCCACAGCTTGTGCTTTCATTCCTCCTCTAAAGGTCTTCTCCATAATCATACTGTGCAGGGAAGGGTTAGGGAGACTTGGGCTTTGCCACACAAAGCAGATTTAGGATGAGGCTGAGAGCTCCAAGTTCAGTAAAAATGCACCTCTACCTGATAGGGCAGATTCTCAGAATAAATGGCTATACAGATATTCAAATTCCTGTCACCAGACTGGGAGGTAGAGTGGGGAATACTCTTTGGAAGCTCAGAGGGATCTGAGTTTGGGCCTAGGTAGTTGGAGAGGAACATAAAATGACAGATTTAAAGTAGATGGAAAGGAACAGATAAAAGACAGTGAAAAATGGCTGTCCCAGACACTTCTGTCTACCAATTACAGGAAGACAGGTTACCATCTTGGAAAGCCATTTCTGGATATGGAAAAACATGCAATTTTCCTCAACACATTGTATATAACAGTCCTCTCAGAGCAAGGAGAGGGAATATGAGAATAGTTGGTTGATAAGTATAACCTGTAGACTGCTAAAATCAGCAGGGAAGGGCCCTGGCCGGGGTGGCTCAGATGGTTGAGTGCTGTGCCATACACCGAAAGGATGCGGGTTTGATCCCCATTTGGGGTACACGGGATGCAACTCATCAATGTTTCTCTCCCACATTGATAGAATGTTTCTCTCTCTCTCAAAAATCAACAACATAAAAAAAACATATCCATATCCTCGAGTGAGGATTTAAAAATCCAGCTGGAATGCAGTCATTTGTTGTTCTGAGTGCATGTCTTCCAAAAGATCTTGCTCATGGCCTTACCCTGTTGGGAAAGAGGGTGCACCTTCCTGTTGGCCTGGGGCATCCACATGACAGACAGCAAAGTGCTGAGTGATCTCTTGCATATCCTCAAAGTTAAAGAACGCATTGAAACAGGATTTATCTGCAAGAGTAAAAATGCTCATAAGTCACAGGCTTTTCATTTGTCCCCAACTTTCCATTACTGATCACAAAATTACATATCATCATCCCTTTTCACTGCCTTTGAATCACTGACCCACCAAAAGGTGTCTGAACAATCTGATCCAAGCTGCTGAATACCAGACATCTCAATGACTTGAAAATAATTAATTCTCAATACTTCACAATGTCTACAAAGTGGAAACCAATCCTGGTGCTGCACAAGATAATCTTATACCCACAGTGCTATCATTTTTCATGTACCTTATTCTTCAATATGACATAGAAACACCAATATATCCCAAGAACCTGGCTAGAGTGAGTATCTTGGGCTGCTTACGTTCATCATATGGAAGACTGTGAGCATTCATCTTGAAAAAAAGGATTGGGGTGAAGGGAGGGGCTGCTGCTTCAATTGCCAACCTGTTGGTATCATGATTAAATCATTTCCCTAGAAAAGCTCTAGCACTAGACTGTAGCCTCAAATGTAGACCACCTCTGAAAGCCAGAGAAATGAAAGAAAAGAGAGAGAGAGACTCTGCGTGCCTGTGCCTGGGGCCAGAATCTTACTCTACCATCTAGAAAAGTCCACTTAAAGACACTGATGACAGGCCATCGCAAGAACACTTTTACTGGTTCATTAAAGAGTTCACCACTAAGTTAAACCCAAACCCTGGATTTTCTAACTTGAAATATGAAAAACCAAAGAAGTATGGACCAAAAAACTCCCTGACTTCAGTTTTACTTTCATAACCAGTTAATTATATAACCTTAGTTCTTTAGTAAATCTGACAGAGGTGAGATATAATTCCAGTAACCCCCAAGTGCATTCTCCTGCACATTTCTGGGGAACTTGAATCCTGCCATTAATGTGAAGAGGGAAGGTAAAGGCAGAGAGAAGAAAACCTATGTTCTAATACTAGGATCTCTTATGTATATATTTAATATACAAAGATTAAATATTATAATACAAAGGGGAGATATAAAATCAAATACATACGATTGAGGCCAATGTCATGATATGTCAGAATAACTGGTCTGTTTCCCTTCGGTAGGCCTCTTATAGTGACGTGGACCATACCATGAGGAGTTTCTATATCATGTTCCTGTAACAAGAGAATGCAACATCTCAGCAAAGGCAGAATGGACTTCCTAGGGTGCTGAAGTTTCACTATATCTGATTCACAGCTATTTCCCACTAGCTGGGGCAGGACACATCTCTAAACTATAAGCATACGAGAGAGATGCTATATTATACAGAATATTTCTACTTTCTAATTACTTTCAGATAAACAACAAACAAATAAGTGAGAAAAATCGTATCTTCTTATCCACAAAGCTCACTTCCTTAAGTAGGGGAAATCAAGTATCTGTTGGTAATATATTTGCAACTGGCTAAGGAAAGGTGATCAACAAGTTGAGTAAGGAGCCAGTAAGACCTATGGTAAGCAAAACTAAGGAAGCAGAAGATGTAAAATTACTGGGTAAAAAGCCAGAAACTTTAGAACCTCTAGTAGTAAATGTATGTTCAACAACTGGTAAGTTCAGCAGAGCTATGAGGTGTGTGCCTAAATCTCTCCCCTTTCCTAGGAGGTGCCTTTCAGTGTCACCATGCATTACAGGATAGACTGTAACCTTATGGCCACAACTAACTGGAGTCAGATGGGCATATGGTGCATGCTGGGTCAGCTTCCTTCCCTGAGAATTTGTAATTGGCACTAAGAGATTCCACCCTCAGCTTCGTTTTTCTCTAGAAAGAGATGTAAACTTGAAAGTTTATATTAGGCATTCTCACTACTCTAATTCCTGGTTTTAGCTTTATTTCAGAGACATCCCTGGATTGTCTCTGGTTTAAGCTAGTTTGAATGGGCTTATTCCCTGTACCCTAAAGGATCCTAACCAAAGCAATGAGTAAAGCTGAGGAACTGAACAAAGCTGGAACAAAATGCTGCTTTTTCTACCACCTAGAAAAGTCTAAGAGTGGTTGGGTGGGGAAAAAAGAGACTGTAGGTAAGTTGACAAATTTATTCTAGTCTTCAAAGTTTGAATCTTTTAAAAGTAAAAAATTATCATATTTAGCCTAGTGACTTTCTGCTGACAATCATCCACACCTATCTCAGAAAGTCTTACACTAGATAAGACAAGATTAACTGTCAATAAGAATCTCAACAAAGGCAAGGGGCTTCCAACTTAATTTCCTTTGTAATAATGAATCTCATCAGAGTGTTGGTTTCTTCTCTGATGTAGGGCACAGAACAATCTTAGGCTAAGTCATGAGCAATGTATCTCAAATCATAGGCCCCACGCTAGAGCAGATATTTCTATCGAATCAAACCATGAGTGATTCAATATCTCTGCTATTCTCTACTATTACTACCTCCTATTCAAAGGATTGAAAATGGGAAAAAATGAAGGAGAGAATGAGGTACTGTGTACTAACTGGCTATGAAATAAAGATAGGCTGTGGATGAAAGGAATACAAAGATAAATTCCTGTAACTGTATAAGCATTTCTCTTGCAGTAATGTCAGACTTATTGAGGAATGCCCTCCATCACAATCAGGCTCATTCGTTAAACAACTATTTATTGAACTCCTACTTCTAGAACTTGGACTGAGCTCTGGGGATAAAACAGTGAATAAAAGACATGGTCCCTGCTTTCATAAAGATTATGTTCTAACAGGGAGGCAGACAATAAACACACAAATCAACTGACCCATAATAATAGTTTGTGATAAATGCTATGAAAGAAATAAATAAGATAATAGAAAATTGAGAAGGAAGACATTAACTCTATTAGCAGTCAGGATAGTATAAACTAAATCACAGAAATGTGATTTCAGACACACCAGAATGGCAACACTTTTAAAACTGGATAATGCCAAACGTTGCCCAAAATGTGGAGAACTAAGTCTCATACACTGTTGGTGGGCATGTAAACTGGACCAGCTATTCTGGTAAACAATTGAGTAATTTCTAGTAAATTTTAGAGTATCTACCCTGTAAGGTTTGAGGCGTAGAAAACTGACCACCAAGGAGTTTTAAAGTAAAGTTTATTCCCCAGTAATGAGTGGGACTCGTTAAGGAGGTAGAGAAATCAGAATGGAAGGAGTTGGGAGTGGGGATGGACCCAGCCGGGCTGCCACCTGGACATGGAGGATCAGCAGCACATGGCTGGTCTGGGGGTCTTTTTAAGGAGAGGAACAGGAGAGGGTTGGACCCAGGGCAGAACAGGAAGGGGTGGGCTCCAGGAGACTTTGGCAGGCGCTGATTGATGGCTCAATGTCTTGGAGATATCTCTGTGACAGATGCCAGTAATGTCATAACTCCGCCCACCAGTTGGGAGGAGGGAGAACCTTATTTATATACCCTATAGCAGTTTTACTTTTTGGTATAATCTTAAAGAAGTTCCCAAATATGGTCAGACGTATACAGAAATATACATTGAAGCCTTATTATAATGTAAAAAAAATTGAAAACAGCCTAAACATTCATCAATAGGGAAACTGATAAATGAATTATGATATATTCATATAATACAGAAAAAATGAACTAGAACTATGAGCATTAATACATAGAGAAATCTTAAAAACACAATGCTGAATAGAAATGCAGAAAGTTATATATATACTATACCACAGATTTTTTTAAAAATTAGCACTAAATAGATTATTTATTTATATATTTAAAATGTAAGAACTTGGCCGAATCCGGTTTGGTTCAATGGATAGAGTGTCGGCTTGGGGACTGAAGAGTCCCGGGTTCGATTCCGGTCATGGGCATGTACCTTGGTTGCGGGCATATCCCCAGTAGGGGGTGTGCAAGAGGCAGCTGATCGATGACTCTCATTGATGTTTCTAACTCTCTATCTCTCTCCCTTCCTTTTTGTACAAAATCAACAAAATATATTTAAAAATAAAAAATAAAATGTAAGAACTTGGAGAAGGAATGACACTAATGAAACATAGAACTTGTTTCCTCCTGAGAGATGATAAATTTTAAAAAGGGAACACAAGGAATCTTTGCGCTCTCTATTTTTTGAGGAAAAACAACAACAACAAAAAAACAGAATAAAGAGGAAGAGAGATGTAAGCCCCTGCCAGATGGGTGATGCTCAGGAGAAACCAAATTGAAAAGAATGTGTAACAATTTGTCATTCTGACAATCTAGTTGCTGGAGACTTCCTTCTGTCATATCTTCCTTCAGTAGAGTCTTGTTTAAATATTTTAATTTGGCCTACTTCTCAGCTCTACTTCTGAGACTTGAAGGAAAAACCGGTTTACACTTTAGCCCTTAGGTTAGCAGACCTCCTAAGGCCAGGTAATTGATGGGGGTAGTGTGTGTGGGAGTAAAGGGGGGTAGTGGGGGGAGGGTGTGGAATGGGATGAAGGATATAAGCTGTGAAGAAAGTTCAGAAAAATTATATAGCCGAAACCGGTTTGGCTCATCGATGTTTTTGACTCTCTATCCCTTTCTCCTTCCTCTCTGTAAAAAAAAATTAAAAAAAAAAAAAAAAATATATATATATATATATATATATATATATATATATATATATATTAAGGGAGATATAACAGATGGGTTAAAAGTAGGTGAGGGAATGGGGCAAAGTAACTACTTTTGTCATCATTTCATGATCTAGATGAAATTCAGAGTTAAAATTGACTAACAGAACTTCAACTTTTTAGACCTCAGCTCCTACCTCCCATAATATACCCTCAAATTGTATAATGACCAAAGCATCAAAGGGTCAAGAGTGCTTGAGCAATTCCTATAGTTTTTCTTCATTTCAAAGTTTGTGAATGTGAATGATATTAGGACAAAGAATACAAAAAGGAGATACTCACCTCCCTATAGACTTCTATACATAGCCTTTGGGGCCTTGAGAGTGAAGAGCTTGAAGTCTCCATCTCAAGATGAGTGTGCAGAGACCCTGGCTACAGAGCTCACTCAATAGACAGGCCATACGGAGGTGAAGTTGCCAACATCTTTCCACTTCAGCCAACGATCATGCATTCCACAGGCTGTTTCTGTAGTTCCCTCACTTGCACCCTAGAATTCTACAGGGTATGACTACACAATGAGTCTGTGCTCCAGGGCAGAGCCCAGGTAGCATCTAATTGGCTCTGGTCACAGAGCGTTTCCAGTATTCTCTCATTATTTACTGTTTCCAAGGTTGTGTACGTGACCATGGTCCCTTTTTTCTCCAGGCTTATAAAACCACCTGAAATCATATTGGTCCCCAACACACTTCTCCATCCTAGATGGTCTCCCTCTTAATCAAAGATAAAGTTTAAGAGTCTTTTTAAAGAATTTAAATGTTTAGGATATTACCATTATTTGATAATAATTAACTTTCACCTTTTTTTTCTGAGTCGCCTTCCTTCAGCAAGATGTGCTATCACCAGAACTATTCAATCTGACTTATCATATCCCTCTGAACTCAGTTAAATTTTTATCACTTCATTCTGCTCTGGCCAGTCCGAAAGAGGTTAGGTAAACTTGTATGACAACATACTTTTAGAAATGTCAATGCTTTTATTAGTATGAAATTTCCTTCTGCATCTAGTAAGTAGTTACTATTTGAGCCTCTGGTATAATTTTTATTATTATATAGGAATTTTTTATGTAATACTCCCACCATTACCTTACCTCTGTGTAGTGGTATAAAGTTCATTTCCTCATTTAATCCCCTAATAAAAAAAAAAACTGACCTTAACAATTACTTAGCCTTCTACCTATCAGAACACATTTTTATTTTTAAAGTTCTACATTACTTTAAAACTCAGTTCTCTCCCCTCTTACTTTTTTATCTTTCAGCCTAGTTCAATCAATACCCATTCAGATATTTTTTATTTTCCAACTACCCACACTCTCAATCTCATAAATCATGCTCTTCATCTGGAAGCTTCTCTTGCAATATGTCAACATAAAATCTATCTTTTCCTCCTTCAAAGCCAACTCTAATATCTTTGATGACAATAAGAAGAAAACAAGTGAATTTAACCCACACACTATAGCCCAGAACACCTTCAGAACATGGACTCTCTAGGAAAGTGCAGGTGGGAAGGGGTCCAGGTATGTGCATGTGACAACCCCCCATGACCTGACCCATCTAAGTCAAGATTCCTTCCCTGACCTTTTTCCTAGATTTATAGGTAAAGATCTTCTCTTCCCAATAAGGTTGCTAAGCTAGAAGAATGTGAGTTTGAAGCAGTTGGTAGCCATCAAGCCCAAGATGAAGCCCAAGATGAAACAGATTGTTAGAGAAATAAATCCTCTAGTGACAGGAGAAAAGGGTACTGAGATTGGAAGTGGTGATGATTAAAAAAAATAAACCCATCTTTTTCTATAAAATTATTTTTCCCCCTTCAATTGAGAATAAAGTCACCTATATCCTTTGAAATTAATAATCAACCTTTCTCTCACTCCCCCAAAACCAACAAAAGGTGGAGGGCATCTCAAGGGCAGGAACTATGAACAAAGGCCATTAAGAAAGGAAAACTGCAGATTAGTAATAATCCCAGTTTTCCTGGGTGTGTGTGGGGCATACAAAGGGAAGCAGTGACCAACAAATGGACTGGGACCAATTTGCATCCTTCAAAGCTAGGGGAGGAGCAAGTAACTACTGATAAAAATCTCTAACAGATGGCTGAATCCCAGCTGTCCCCAAACACCTTTTCTATAGAAGGAATGTTCAGGATATTTATTTCACCTAATCTTATTTTTTTAACAATCCCATTCAACAAGTTATTGGGAAGAGTTTAAAGCTGTTTAAAACCCTTTAGAAGAGGCCGGCCACATACATTTTGAATTAAGGTATTAAAACCCATCTCTCACACTTGGGTTCTATATAAAGAAGTCCTCTAGAGAGCAATGGCATTAAAAAAAAATATATTTTCTTATCTATTGGGCTATCTCCTTTTTAAAAAAAATATACTTTTATTGATTTCTGAGAGAGGAAAGGTGAGGGAGAGAGGTAGAAACATCAACGATGAGAGAGAATCATTGATCAGCCTGCCTCCTGCACATCCCCTTCTGGGGATCAAGCCGGCAACCCGGAAATATGCCCTTGACCTGGGACCCTTCTGTCCACAAGCCAAAGAGGAACTGCTGTATTTTTTAAAATGTGTTTTTAAAATTGATTTTAGAGACAGAAGAAGGGAGAGGAAGAGAGAAACATCGAATAATTGCCTCTCTGGGCATGTGGCCTGACCCAGAATCAAACCAGCAACCTTTCAGTGCACAGGATGACACTGAACCAACTGAGTCACACCAGCCAAGGCCAAAGAGCTACTGATTTAAAGTCAGACTGAAATTATTCAGCCATTGGCCATGCCTGGATTATCCTAGGAGCAAGAACTTCATTCTCTTCTGTGAAAATGATATATCCTGGCAGACACCAGCTTTTCACTCTCCACCAGTATTTATTGAGTAACCCTCTGGTGGAAGTGGAAGGCAATTTGACAAGATATGCCAAGGGCCTTAAATATGCTCATTCCAGTTAATCTAAGGAAATAACTCAAAGTGTAATAAAATTTATGCACTAAAATGTTCAGTGAAGATATAATAAGCAATCTAATTTCAAAAAATAATGAAATACTTATGACATAGCATAGCTATATGGTTAAATAACAGGTAGCCATTAGAAATTTTTATGAGTTTAAAACTATGGGAATGAGATTGTGTTCTAATATTAAGTCAGAAAAGGAGATACAAAATTGTATATCCAATATAACCAACTAAAGAAATAAAAAAATTATTTTAATATTACATATGCACATATATTTCAATACTATATTAACAGGGTTGTCCCTGGGTCATGGAATTATGAGTTTTTCTCCAACTACTTTATAATTCTAATTCTCCGTGCTTTCCAAATATTCTACTTTGAGCATATACTCTCTTGATAAACAGAATTTAAAAAAGTAAAAATTGGAGAAAAACATAATAAAATATGGTAATCTCTAGTAATAGGATAATAGGTAATCTTTATTCTTATACTTTTTTGAATTTCCTAAATTTGATTCTGATCATACCCAGGTTAAGTGTTATTCTTTTAAAGCAATATCGTATACACAGAAACAACAGCATTTGTTTCAGCTCTAACTCTAAGCTTTTAAACAGTCTCAGAAGGAGAAAAGAATTAAGCAACACTGAAGTAGATAAATGGACAATAAGCCTGCTGATTCATTGTTCCAACTGGCAATAGGCTCATTTCTCCTTTCTCATCAATTCTAAGCATGTCACCTCTAATCACCCATTCCTTCATTACTGTTATACACAAATATAACTGCTGTTTGCCTCAGAGGAGCTATATAGCAATGAAATCACATGGGACAATCAAAACCAAGAGAAATGGTACACTTTTAATGACATTTTCAGCTACTGAAAAATATGTACAAACACGAAGTTGATTAGTAAGGAAAAATCAGTCTAGACTGAAGTTGTGAGCTTAATTGATGATGCCAAGATAACTTCCTAGGATATCATCAAAGATTCCTTTAAGATTTCTGAGATAAGACAGATCAGAAGAAGCCCACAGTTATTCTAAAAGACAACACCAATGCCAAGGCTGAAGGCCTTTCCATTTAGTGACAATGCCAGCTTTATAGATTTGTTCAGCTTTGTCTCTTAAGAACGCCCAATGGCCCTAACCAGTGTGGCTCAGTGGATAGAACCTCAGCCTGTAGACTGAAGGGTCCCAGGTTCGCTTCCAGTCAAGGGCATGTACCTTGGTTGCAGGCACATTCCCAGTAGGGGCTATGCAGAAGGCAACTGATCAATGTTTCTCTCTCATTGATGTTTCTAACTCTCTATCCCTCTCCCTTCCTCTCTGTAAAAATCAATAAAATATATATATTTTTAAAAAGTTGTATTTCATAAGGCCAGAACATGTTACTAAAGCTTCACCCAAAATATCAAGATATTTTAAGCCTTAATATTAAAAAGTGATTTATATTTATATTTCTAAAACTCAATTTCATTTATATCTAAGTATATGTATGCATTAAAAAATCCTAAAGGCTATATTCTAAAACATTAACACTGGTGAAAAAAAGAAGTGATATTTATTTACTTTTTGGTATTTTTAAAATCTATTTGAGTTTGTAATGTAAGTTTTTATATTCTAATTTTCTCTTTTGGGGAGGGGATATCCAATTTGATGAAAATAAATACTTCCACACTTTTTGGCAGGAGTTTACAAATACTATTTCTGGAATTCCTCATCTTAAATTTTACTGTCCCTCTCTCAAATGATTTCCTTCTAGGTAATTATATCAAATACTTAACAGCAATCAAGTTAAACAGTTTCAACCGAGGATCCAAACCATAGATGAAATTAGGTGAAAATAAAAACACTAAACCCAAATTTGACTGTGCTACCATTTATTAAAAATTAATATGACTTCTTGTTCTTGAGTAAAGAAATATAGCAAACGATTGCCTACCGATTTCCTACTAGGTTGGTTACACTGTATATATAAAGCACCAAAGAATCACACTAAGAGGTATCTGACACTAGGATTCAAAAACCTGTAACAACACAATGAGCACACTGCCCCTTACAAAGTGAGTCTTGTGCATCCTGCCAAGGAACCTCAGCTTTGCATATAATTCAACTCCTTATAACATCTCAGCTTTGGGACATTTCCAGGTAGAAAAGAACAGGAAATGGATTCAGGAAGAATGGGGTTTTTCAACCCCAACTTCACTCAATGTCAAGTTAAGAAACCTGATTCTGAATTTCCACATCTGTAAAACAGGGTTAATAAAAACAACGTTGGGCCCAGCTCAACCACTGAATCACACGACCCATGAACCAGGAAGTCATGGTTCCATTCCCAGTCATTGCCCATGCTTGGGTTTTAGGCTCCATCCCCAGGAGGAGGCAACCGATCTATGTTTTTCTCTCATCAGTGATGTTTCTATCTCTCTCTCCCTCTCCCTTCCTCTCATTAAAATAAATAAAAATATATTAAAACACACACACACACACACACACACACACACACACACACATATTGTGATATTGTTCCAAGAACTAGAGATATGTTTAATATCTATAATAGTTACTCTGTAAATTATGATATAATTGGGTTTACCCTATGAGATAAATATATGTCCTTCCTTTTGATGCTAATGCTAAAGATTCACTACAGTTAACATAAAATGAGTATCTGAAAATAACTGTTTGCCTTTGGGTATATGGGTTGGTGAAATCCTGCAAGCAAGGAAGTTGGTTTCCCAACACCTTCCTTTTCTGCCTAGTATCCTGAGAGTCTACTTCACACTGCTTCTGACAGCCACTGCTCTGACATCATCCCCAAAACAGGAGCCGGGCTACATGGACTTATAAGATTCCCATTTCCATGTACTCATTCCTTCCTCCCACTTCTTTCAGGGCCAGTCAACAGATAAAGTAGATAGATCAAGAGTTGCTGGTTCATTTTTTTAATTTTTAAATTGGCAATAGTTACAGGGGAAAAAACTCACCAAACAAAAAAATAGAGTAGGAAGAGAACAGTATCATTTAAGAAAATACTAATGAGTCAGGTTAAATTTTGTATTTCTAAATATAAAGCTAATAGAAACCTACATTTTTTAATTAATAACACTTGTCTTTTTTTTTTTTTTTAGGAAAATATTTTGTCAAGTTTCCCCTCCAAACTACACCTCCCCCACCTTTTCTGCAGTGAGGTGACAACCCTCCACTTGACACCTAGGACTGGGGTTTCGAGTATTATTTGAGGAAAGGAAATCTAATCACACAGACACAGTAACTTACAATCATAAAAACAGACCCTGGCAGGCAAATTTTGAATATAACAGCAAATTATTTTAAACAAATTTATTATAATAACTAAAAAAACATGAAGGAGCCATCACTGCTATGAAGAGAGATCCACCACTACAGACCACCAGCACAGGAGGGAAGCACTGCAGAGAACTGGCACACAGACCTCCTTGGCGCTTGTACAGTTCTTACCTGACAGTCAAAGTCCTGGAAGTTTCGTGTACCATTCTGTCAACAGAAGGCAGAAAACACAGTCAGTTTCCCCAAATGTGCAGCAAATTCAGTTCACAGTGAAAGCAATGCATGTATAGTGTATGGTTGCCATAAACTAAAATGGTTCTTTCTCATAAAAAGTCCTCAGAGGCAGGGTGGGTTCCTAACATGTGTTAGTAAAAGGTGAGTTTTTAGAGATGAGATTACACCTTGGTGGACTTCCTAAGAATCTATCCTATATAATAAAAGGGTAATATGAAAAATGACACTAATGGCGGAATGACTGGTCACCTTGCAGGAGCTTCCTCCTAGTGATCAGTGCACTCCCCCAGGAGGAGCTCCGCTCAGCCACAAGCAGGGCTGAGACCTGTGAGTGCAGGGGTGGTGTTAGAAGCTTCTCCTGCCTCCTCGGCAGCGCTCAGGATGTCTGACTGTGGCTTAGACCCTGAGGAGTGGACCTAAGCTGCAATTGAACATCCCCCGAGGGGTCCCAGACTGAAGAGGGTGCAGGCCAGGCTGAGGGACCCCTCTGAGTGCACGCATTTTTGTGTGCTGGGCCTCTAGTCCTATATAATAAAGATGTGATATGCAAATTGACCCTCACACCCTCACAAGATGGCTGCCTACAACCAGGCCGGCAGGGGTGTTAGTGAGGAATGACCAAACAACTGAACAAGGAGGCTGCATGGGGTGACCAGGCCAGAAGGGGGTTAGTGAGGGATGACCAAACGACTAAAGAGCAGACTGCGTGGGCAACCAGGCTGGCAGTGGGGGGGCAGTTAGGGGTGACCAGGCCAGTGGGGGAATGCAGCTGGGGGCAACCAAGCCAGTGAGAGTGGGGGATGCAGTTGGGGGCGACCAGGCCAATAGGGAGGGAAGTTAGGGGCGACCAGGCTGGCAGAGGAGGGAAGTTGGGGCAACCAGGCTAGCAGGAGGGACAGTAAAAGATGACCAGGCCAGCGGGGGTGGGACAGTTAGGAGCAACTAGGCCAGCAGGGTGGGGGCAGTTGGGGGCGACCTGGTTGGCAGCAGATGGCAAGTTAGGCGTGATCAGGCTGGCATGTAGAGGCAGTTGGGGGCAACCTGGCTGGCAGTGGGTGGCAGTTAGGGGCGATCAGGCAGGCAGGCAGGTGAGTGATTAGGAGCCAGCGATCCAGGATTGTGAGAGGGATGTCCTAGATTGGAGAGGGTGCAGGCTGGACTGAGGGGACCCCTGCCCCGTGCACAAATTTCATGCACCAGGCCTCTAGCGTGTGTGTGTGTGTGTGTGTATGTGTGTGTGTGTGTGTGTGTGTGTGTGTGTGTAATTAAAAAAAAAAAAGCCTAATATGCAAATAGACCAAGCTGCCGAACAACTGAACAACCAGTTGCTACGACGTGCGCTGATTGCCAGGGGCCATGCACAGAATATGGTGGTGTCAGTCATGGAGGGATGGTAGAGCAGGTGAGCAGGGGAACCATACCAAGGTGGGGTGCTAGTTGCTGTCATCTGGACAAATCTCTGGTGTTTACTGAAAATTCTTTGCTCCTGGATGCTGCAATCCTGCCTGGCATTCACACCTGCTGCTGGCACTGGCCCCACTCACACCCACTGCCAGTGCTGAAGCCACCGCTCTCACTCACTGCCGGTGCCGGGCCCCATCACTCGGCGCTGTCAGTAGGAATGAGCGGCAGCTGCCACCCTCATAGCCCTTCAGGGCTTCTCCACCTCCCTCTGCTCCTGAGAGGCAATCAGGGCAGCAGCCCCCTCTCATACCTGCTGCTGGCACCAGTCCCAATTGCTCTGAGCCGTCAGAGGATGCAAGTGAGGCTGGCGCCATCAGCGCATGGGAACAGTGGCGACGGGAGTGGGGCTGTGGGCAGACAGGAGATGGGGGCCATGGAGAGAGGGGCCGAGAGGGGGCACGGAGTATGGGCCAAGACCTGTCCCTGTGCCCTCTGCAGCCCACAGTTCCTTTCAAGGTACACGAATTCTTGTGCTGGGCCCCTAGTATAAAAGAAAGCAGCCTGCTTTCTCAGTAAAGCTGGTAACTTCTTGCCTCCCTATCTAAAAAGAGCAGTGAGAATTTGTAGGAAGAGGGTAAATAGGGGTGTCGAACTCAATCAGAGAAGGGGCCAAAATCTAAAATCCAGCCTAAATCGCAGGCCGAATGGTTTACTGAACAGTCATAAACTGTCACTGTGATGGAAACACAGCGGAGTGCAGTGATGACAGCGCGGTGCGGGCCACATTGCAAGGCCTGGCGGGACGGATTTGGCCCGCGGGCCTTGTGTTTGACACATGTGGGGTAAGACATGGATCAGAGTCTGACAGCAAACTTAAACCCACAAAGGAGCACCTGGGAGGAAAGGAGTTCCTGAGAGGAACAAGGAAGGCAGTAGTGCCTAGAACCAAGAATTAAAGAAAGGAATAAGGAGAGAACAAAGATATAGATGGATTGGAAATGGAAGACTTGATATTGAATGAGGAAGGAAGTGTCACTGGAGAAAAAGAAAAACAAAACAGGATTCCTAATATAATGAATGATCTACCTGTTGCATTCCATAAAACTGCTGATAGGAAAAAGGACACATAACTGAATCATTTAAAAAGCAGAACATAATCAAAAGACTGAAGGGGAATTCACCAAGCTTCTAAAAAGAGATTATATCACAGTAAAGTTAGATTAAAAAAAAAAAAAAGTCAATGGGAATGACTCAGAGGCATTTTTGTAGCATTTTAGATGCCAGACTCCAAGAGTATGATGTAAGAATATAAACATGATAATGAATAATGTGTTTGGGAGGGGGGGGAAAAGTCTTCTAATTTGATTTTTCATAAAGTAAAGCCCTTCCCCTGAAAGAAACCTTTCTTTGTTTAGAAACCATGTTATCTTAAAATATATATTCTGCCTACAATGGTTTCCAGAAGGGGTGGAGCTGCTAATAAGCACCTTCCCAAAGATCTAGAGATCTAGACAGCTGGTCACTAAGTAGTCCCCTTCAAGGTCCTCTTAGCCCTGGTCAAAGGGGCTCAGTGGTTGGGCATAGTCACATGTACCAGAAGGTTGCTGGTTCAATTCCCAGCCAATCAATGTTGCATTCTCACATCAATATTTCTCTCCCTGCCTCCCTCTCCCTTCCTTTTTCTAAAAATCAATAAAAAAAAATATTGCCCAGCTGGTTGAGCATAGGCCCAGAAACCAAGAGGTTGCTGGTTTTATTCACAGTCAGGGCACATGCCTGGTTTGTAGGCTTGATCCCCAGTAGGGGCAGTGCATGAGGCAGCTGATCGATGATGTTACTCTCCCATGGATGTTTCTATCTCTCTAACCTTCTTCCTTCCTAAAAAAATTTAACAATAAAAATATAATCCTTTTTTCACAATAGCAGCATTCCTTGGAAATATATTACCCATCCCATCTGTACCATATTTTTTTTAAAAGACCAAACAAATAAATTGGTCAATTAAAAAAGAAGATCCTCTTAGAACCAGTTCTGTATCCCACTGCTGGCAGGACAAAGCATGGATGATAAAAACATGGCCCAGAATGGTATTAAAAACCCCAAAGAAACAAACTGTCCTATACTAGAGGAACTAGTAGATCTACAGCAGCACTATCCAATATGGTAGTCACTTGTAACATGTGGCAATTAAATTTATTTTTTATAGTTTCTCAGTCACATTAACCACATTTCAAGTGCTCTGCAGACACACATGGCTAGTGGCAACTATATTATTGGGCAGCAAAAATTTTAAAAAAATTTCTATAAACTGCAGAAACTTCTGGACAATACTGATCTAGATTCAGAAAGCTTTTGAAGGAATAGGCTATGGATGAACAGACCTTAGTTCTCTAAATGTGGCAGAAAAATCACAATAGATTACCAATCAGAGAGACTGCAGATGATACTGAGAACAAGAAAGGGTGGTGGAGACAGCTCGTCTAAAGTATTGTTCCTGGCATGAAACCAAGTTCACAAAATAAGTCTGATGTAATCAGAGCTTGGAGAGACAACAAAGACACGGTGCAGATGGGATGGGTAGCATATTTCCAAGGAATGCTGCTATTGGTAAAAAAGGATTATATTCCACGGCTCCCAGTAGCCCCATAATATGCCTGAGAACGCCTTCAGAGAAATCATTGTATTTCATTTCTTTTTTTTCTTTTTTTTTTTAATATGTTTTTATTGATTTCAGGAGGAAGGGAGAGGGAGAGACAGAAACATCAATGATTGGCTGCCTCCTGCATACTCAACACTGGGAATTGAGCCCACAACTCAGGCAGGTGACCAGGAATCGAACTGTGACCTCCTGGTTCACTCAACCACTGAGCCACACTCGCCAGGCCATTTTGTTTAACTTCTAATTAACTATGAGAAGCAGAAAGAAGGACCCTTTTATATACTAGGGTAGATGGTTTGAGTAGAATATAAATGACCAGATATTAAGCCCCTGACTCCTGATTCAACTTGCACCTTCCCCCAAATAAAGCACCAGTCTTTTTTTATTTTTTTATTGATTTTACACAGAAAGGAATTGAGAGGAACAGAGAGTTAGAAACGTCGATGAGAGAGAAACATCGACTAGCTGCCTCTTGCACACCCCCCACTGGGGATGGCCCGCAACCAAGGTACATGCCCTTGACCGGAATCGAACCCGGGACCCTTCAGTCCGCATGCCGACACTCTATCCACTGAGCCAAACCAGTCCCGGCTAAAGCACCAGTCTTGAGGCATTCTGTGAAGCCCTGAAGCCTCTGAAATGAGCACAAAGGGAAATGCCAAAAATGGAAAGAGATAATTCTTTCTAGAAATCAAAGCGAGCTTCTCTTTATTGAATACATAGCAAAAAACAACTATGTGTTCTTAATCCAATGTACACAGCTAGACTCCCAGCAGAAAAAGTACTAATAAGTGAAAGAAGACTAATCCTTGTTTTCTTGGCATTTTTTTAAAGAGATGCCAGACCCTCTAGGAGAATGGCTTCAGGCTTCGTGAGTGATCATCTTAGAGAAAGGATATGACTGGGTTTG